TTTTACATACAACAGGCTAAATCCTATCTATATTACACTAAATATTTAAAATTACTTTAGGATTAAAACTTAACGAAAAATAAACAAAAATAACAATAGCTTTTTCACGTAATATGGGGACCTGCTATCAAAACATTACGTATATAATTTAACAGATAACAGTGTCATTGTCATCTCAGCTAGACAGCTAACTGAACACTAATATATTACAACAGCCAAAAAATTAAATAACAGGCACAACAGGCAACGGGTAGCAATGAAGGAAATAATATATTTTTGTTTACCGTTATAATTTAGTGTTAGTAAAATATCTCTTATTAAGTTTGCTTAGAGTTTAAATTAGTGTAAGCTATACGCAATCCTTGATGAATACATAGTTCGGCCGTTCAGAGAATGCGTTCCTGACACCTATCAGTTAGTCACGACTAGTGATGGGCACAACGTAACACTGAGTTCGTTACCGTTCCTCCAAAATGAACCGCCGCGTTATTTTTAAGATTATTTTTGTTTTGTAGGGGGTCATTGTAGAAGCGTGCTCGTCGCGACCCCTGCCAGCCCTTTTTAGGGCTGCAATTCTACACAGCTGCGCACCCATGCAAACGGGAGTTAGGGCGTCCCCCCAAGGCGACGCACACCAGCTCGTCCCCGTTGGTGTGGAATGCAGCGCGCAAAGCGGCGATGGGGACCGCCACCCGTCACACACAGCCCGACAGGCGGAAGGTGGAGGACGGAGTGCAGAGTTGGCACGTGGAATGTTAGAGGGGGCATGAGAGATAAGACGAATGAGTTGATCGAAATAATGAAAGAAAGAGAATTAGATGTCGTGTGTATGTCGGAGACCAAACGAAAAGGCAGTGGTACTGAAGAGCTCCCTGGCGGGACGTTAGCTATATGGTCCGGAGTCCCGGAAAGCGAGAACGCCTGCCAGGGAGTGGGGGTGCTGTTGTCGTCCCGGTTGGTCGATCTTATGACTGAATACAAGGTTGTGAACTCAAGACTTCTCTGGGTTCGCTTTAAACTGGGACTGACGAAGTTATTCCTTTTGGCTGTTTATGCGCCGGTAGCTTCGTCGTCCAGGGCTGAGCTGGAGGAGTTTTGGGAGAATGTAAGAGAAGTTCTAGATTTGGTTAAGGGAAACGAAAGAACTGTTGTATGTGGTGATTTTAATGGATGGGTAGGTATCGCTCGACCAGGATACGAGTCGGTGCTTGGAAAGTTTGGCGATAAAAGGGTTAATGATGCTGGCAAACTTATACTGGCTGTATGCAAGGAAAAGGGTCTTCTTGTGACAAACACTATGTTTACACAGGAAAATCCATATGTACACCAGAGAAAGAAAGAATGAGAGAAGTATGATTGATTTGTTCCTGGTGGATGACCGACTGCGAAAACAGGTGATGCATACACGAGTGTTCAGGGGTACTGATCTGGGAACGGATCACTATCTAGTAATTACTAGATTTAGGGGTTTGTTCGCGGGTTGGCGCTACCGGACGGCAGTAACAGAACCACAGTCGGTCTGTCGCATCCGAAGCTGGAAGCTTCAGGAAGCAGATACTAGAAACAAATATCACACGAGGGTAGCCGAAAAGCTTGACACCATCGATGACAGGAAAGAATGTGTGGAGAGAACATGGCAGAACTTTAGGGATGGAATGGTAAGTGCAGCGGAAGAAGTATGCGGAACGACAAAAAGAGGTAGTAGTAAAAGAAGAGATGCATGGTGGAATGATGAAGTGAGAGAAGCTGTAAAAAAAGAAGAAAAAAGCATGGTTAGACTACTTGGCCTCTAGTAACGATAAGCATATGAGAGAGAAGATGAAAGAAAGATATAAGCTGCAGAAAGTTCATGCGAAAACATTGATTGAGGAAGTACGTGAAAGGTGTAGAATAGAAGCGGACGAGAGGTTGTCTCTGCTCTTTTCTGGAAAGAAACTCTTCTGGAAAGAGATTGGAAGGTCCCGGAGTGGTGCGACAGCCTTAAGAATGAACAAAGTGCTTTCGAGAACCAATGACGTCCTCTCAGAAAAATCGGACGTCATGCAGCGATGGAGTGAATTTTATAGAGAAATGTATGCGTGTCATGATCTTAGTGAAGGATCCGGGGGTAACGCCATGACTGGCACGCCAGACACGGACCTCGATGACACTGAGGTCATCAACATGAAAGAGATTGAACGTGCGATTCGAAGTTTGAAATGTGGTAAGGTTGCGGGACTAGACAGAGTTACTGCTGAAATGGTCAAGTACGGTGGTCCTCGCGTCTGGGACAGCTTTCGTCTGCTGTGCAACTTGTGCTGGCGGACGGGAGATGTCCCGGATGATTGGCGATCCGTGGTCATTGTGCCTTTATATAAAGGTAAAGGTTCACATTTTGACTGCGGGTGCTATCGGGCGATCAGCTTGACCAGTTTAGCAAGTAAAGTTTACTCGAAGGTTTTGACACGTAGGATGCAAGAGAAATCGGAAAGATTCTTATGGGAGGCACAATGCGGATTTAGACCTGGAAGAGGATGCACGGATGAAATGTTTGCTCTCCGCATGATCACGGAAAAGCTTCTGAGTGTTAACCAGAGGATTTTCTGTGCTTTTGTGGATCTGGAGAAAGCATTTGATAAGGTTATAAGAAAGAAAATGTGGGAACTGTTGCCGGAATATGGTGTGGATGGTCAATTGCTAAGGGCTGTGCAGTCACTTTACTATGACTGTAAAGCCTGTGTGCGGGTAGGGCATGACCTGTCACCCATGTTTAGCGTCCAAGCAGGCGTAAAACAGGGTTGTGTCATGTCTTCCTGTCTGTTCATACTGTATCTCGACAGCTGCTTACAGAAGCTGAAAAATAGCTGTTTGGGTGTGAAATTGGGTGACATTAAAGTAAATTGTCTGCTATATGCTGATGATGCAGTGCTTATTGCACCATTAGAAGCAGAACTGCAGGCATTAGTCACGTGTATGAAAGAGGAATGTGAAATTAAAGGTCTCCGTTTGAATGCTAATAAAACTAAGGTTCTGGTATTTGAAAAGGACGAAGAGAGAACGAAATATGAAATATGGATAAATCAGGAACGTCTAGAACAGGTAAATGAAATTGTATACTTGGGGAGTGCTTTCAGCCGGGATGGAAGATGTGATTTAGATGTGGATAGGCGCGTCGCTGCCGGAAACAAAGTCAATGGTGCCCTGAATGCATTAGTCAAAAGGCAAGGCGTGGTGAAGAGTGCACGCCTTGCAATACATAACGCAGTGTTGGTACCGACTTTGTTATATTGCAGCGAAACCTGGGTATGCCAGAAGAAGCATAAAAACAAGTTGAATGCAGTGGAGATACGATCTCTTCGTAAAATGTGTGTCGTTACCATAGCCGATCGAAAGCGAAACGAAGAGATTCGCAATATGGCAGGATTGAAAGATGACCTTATCACAAAAATTGATAGGGACGTACTCCAATGGTTTGGGCACGTTGAGCGAATGAGTGAAGACCGAATGGTGAAGAAAATATATAGAGCGAAAGTAAATATTAAAAGGTGTCGAGGTAGACCGAGACTAACTTTCGAAGACCATGTGAACAAATTGCTCGAAGAGGGGAAGGTCAAGAGTACTCGGATACCTAGACGTGCATGTATGAAGAAGTTAATAAACCTGAAAGAAGCGAAGACACTTGGCGATCTGTTCTCTCTGGCTACCCCGTTAGGGATTGTGCGTGAAGATAAGTAAGTAAGTAAGTATTTTTGTTTTGAATTGGCGGAATCATTTAAAATTTATATTTTAGTAATTTAAGTGGAAACCAAAAAAAAGGTAATATTAATATAATAAAATTGTTTTATTTATTCTTTGTTACAAAGTTACAATCTGTATTTCTATGCAATAAAATACATTGAATTGAATGTGCGTACAGAATATTAATCAGACTCCGATTCGCTTGAGGAGGTGGTGTCTTCATCATCATCTTCGCCTACATCTATAATTAAACTATTATCAATAATAGAATCAATCCTGATATCTCGGTCAAAATGTTGCACAATCAGGTTTTTAGTCTTCTCAACAACCTTTGTCCAGTCATCTCCTGTGTCTTCCCCGCAGGCTTCTTTTAATAGGGTCATCATCTTTTTCGTTCTGAATGGCGGGGAAGTATTGTGGCGGGCGGCGTAACCTTTTATTTGAGCCCAGATTAGCTCAATCGCGTTATATTGGCAATGATACGGTGGAATTCTTGCGATGACCGTACTCCAGAGCCAGTTCATCGATTTCATATCGCACATTTGCCGCTTTATTTTCTTTAACTAATTTAATTAGCTCTGGTTTTAGCATCTGCATATTTGCGTCAATGCCTTTTGCTTGTAACCAAGCCACTATTTCTTCTTTTTTATTAGCTTGGGTAGGTGGTTTCTGTATTTGAACCGAGTGATAGGAGGCATTATCCATGAATATTACAGAAGGCTCTGGTAGGCTGGGTTACACAGCCGACAACTGAACTGAACTAACCGCGTGTACAATGTAATATTTGAAACTGTTATAATATATTATAACAGTTTAAAACAACAGTTAGAAAAATATATTACAACAACATAACGAATTAGAAAAATATAACAGTTTCGCCCACCTTCAATAATAGGTACTCTTATTATAAAATAATTCATAGTTTGTGGCATACGGCACATACCACAAACGAATAATATGGGCACAGACTAACTAGTGGATTGTGAGAATGGTGGCGTATCCATATCCAGCAACGGCAAGCGGCAACCGATTTAGTAAATTGTCAAGCTTGTCACTGAACCTTGAAACTTTTGGATATTATACAAAAATAAATAAAAAATACGATGTTTATTCTTTAGAATTAAAATAATGCATAAATTTTTCCCAATGCATAGTTTTCATTTTCTGTAGTCCAACAATTATTATGCATAAATTATGACAACAATAATGGAAAACAAAAAATAATATTTGGTTCTGTGTTTTGTTGTGGATTTATTTTATTATGTATAAAACTTAAAGTGAAAATGAGGTGCAGTGTTCAAAATTGTACAAATGATACGAAGCGTACAACCAAAAGCCATGGAATTACGTTCCATATGTAAGTTACATTTAAATTTATAAACTGCATTTCGTTGTTTATATGAAAATGTTTCTTTCTTGTTTACCCACAGATTGATGATATATTATATAATATTTTCATACATTCAAATCAAATCAAATTAAAAATATTTATTGCATGACCAAGGGAGGTAAAATTAAACAATATCTTAAGGATATGTTATGTACATATATGCTCCATAGTCTACCTATATGAGCTGTACAAAATAGTCTTAATTATATTTATAAAAATAATCAATTTCTTTAACAAATATATAGATTAATTAAATAATGTCATCATAAATATTTATTAAATTATTTTTATTCAAACATAAAACGTTTTGCGTTGCATTATCGAATTTGTCAGACTATAGAGTACTGCCACAGCCTCCTGGTAGATCAGTACTGAAAAAGATAATAAACATATAATATATAACAAATTTAAACTGTATATGACATCAGTTTTCTATACTAAAAGTACCTAACTTAAGGATTTAACTTCTTCAATTTGTCTTAGTATTTAATAATTTGTTAGAATTATTTAATTAATAAATCTAACCAAATATAACATTATTTAATATTTATTGTCTATAAATGCTTGTAAGTTGTAGAAGCATTTATCTGAAACCAAGTGTAGTACCTTTACATAGTACCTTTAAAATTTTTATATGGTTCTTATTTTTAAGTTAGGAATATTATTGTAAATTTTAATGGCATTACGGTAAAATGCTTTTAGTGTATTGTAGTGTTTTTGAATATAATGAACTTTTTATTTTAAAAGACTTCCTAGGGGTTTTCAGATTTTTAAAATATATATTCATATTTCTGTATATTCTTAATTTGATTTCATTCTTTATGTGACAGAGCCAAGCTACATTATGCATGTTGTAAAACTTTTATAGAATGATATTCACAACACTTAACACTGGCTCACTATCACATTAAGTTCTTCTGGGTACGTGTCTTACCTAGGAGCACTCCACAAAGCAACTGACTGCCGGCACTCATTGCAACAACCAAATGACGTGCTACCCCCCACTACTTGTGTGTATGAGACAGTGTATTGAATCTATTAAACAGACACAAACACTACACATGTGTTTTAGACAGCTCCGTGGCACAGTGTCATAGTAAGGTCCGCGGGTTGGAATCCCGCACAGAACAAGTATTTGTATGGCCTACAATTAATTGTTCCGGGTCTGGATGTTTGTCCTCGTGAAATTTATGTTTGTAAACTGCCCCCACGATACAGGAGAAAATCCTAGTGTGGAGGTAACGTGTATAAAAAAAAAACAAAAAAAATATAGAAGAGTCAAGTTGCAGCTATGTTATGATTGCAGCACAAATATCTTGAGTGACAAATTACCAGCACAATATAGCAGCTTTGGGTTCCGTATGTTAAGTGTAAATAATATTACACGCATTAGAAGCAAAAGGTTTGCTTCGACTCTTTTTATGTATACAGCAAAGGAGTGGAATAATTTGCCGGTGTCTATGTTTTTTAATTTTTTATAGGATAGGGTGACAAACTAGCACATAGTCTACCTGATGGTAAGTGTTTGCTGCAGCCTATAGACATCTACATTTACAACATTTACCTCGATTACAAATCAAAATGCAGATGCATTGTCACCCATGAGGACTAAGATGGAATGCCTCATTTCCAGTAAAAAGGGTCTCCGGTTCTCTATACTCACCATACGAAACACAGCAGTAGTAAGATACTATTTTACGCTGGTATTCCGTGAGAGTGTGGTCCTTCCCCAGTTGAGTGGACCCTTTCATCCTACAACTATACTACTAATATAACTTTTTATACAAATCAAAATGCAGATGCATTGTTACCCGTGAGGACTAAGATAGAATTCCTCGTTTCCAGTAAAAAGGGTCTTTACATCCGAATACAACCTGAGCGTCTCCAAGGCAAGAGTAAATATGCTAAACAACACAGTGCGATTCACCAGCCTTAGGGCTGCATCACCACTTACCACCGGGTGGGACTGTGGTCAAGCACTGGTTTATAATAAGTGAAATAAAAAATAAAAAGATAATCAGAAACCATTTTTACTGGTAATTTAACATTTATGACTTAATTCATAACTGAGGATTGATGTAGGTGTCTAAGAGCCACAACATCCACTTCCATCAGGTGTGCTCGTTTGTCAATCTGGTTCTATAAAAAAAAAGATTTAACTGTTAAAAAGTTGACCCTGCATCCAAACCCTAGAGCCAAAATTATAGCAAAATTTTTGCATAGATATGCCACATCACCCCCCTGCTCAGACCGGAGGTCGATAGTGCAGCCTCATTGCCGACGAATGTGCAAGTGCCAGGAGATTGCCTTGTAGTCTGCGGTGAGTCGAGAAGAAGGCAAGTAATCTGCGAGAGTACCGTGAAGCAGAGGCGAGCAGTAAGGCTCAGAGCCATGCCGAACACTGTATAGCACAGAGAGTAGCTTGAAGGAACAGGAAGCATTATTCCAGTGCTGCGATGAACCTTGTGAAGCTTGGCGATATGAAGCTGATGGCTTGCAGGATATGAAGACTGCAGACGATATCTTTCCGAAGGTTGTTGGTTGCATGTTCAGATCTCTTTGGGTGGTCACTACTGTGGCCGTAGAAGGAAAAGGAGAGATCTCCCGCCGGGCAAGGTGTTGTGCCCAGGGAGCGGCCAACGCTCCATGTGATATTTCGAAGATGTTCTATATATTATACTGTTTATGATTCGGAATTTTGATAGCATGATATAGGCTTCGGTGTGTTTCGCTTGCGGCGCGACTTCAGCGCCGCTACAAATGTTTATTTGAAATAGGAGTGTCAGGAAGAGGAGGGGGAGAAGGCCTTCAAATATGAACACACATACATAATTATTATTCTATATTTGACGACTTTCAATCTAAGATACAGTTCTTTTAAATGTCTTCTAGTGTGTGTGTAACTTTAATATACAAATATTTTTATGTAAATATTTTATATATATATATATATATATATCATAATAACTTGTTATATTTACTCGTGTTTTGTTTTTTGTTAATTGATTTTGCGCTAGTCCCTGTATCTGTAAAAAGCTTTTGATTCAAAAACAAATAACAATACTGTTTTTAAATCGCAGCTCTTCGAGCTCGAGAACTACTGTCCAGATTAGGGGATTAAGGTGCTGGTACAAAAGATGCAGAGTGAATAGATAAAGATGACGTGAATGGTAATTTCGATAATCAAGAAGAAGAAGATGTTGCAATACCAACTATAGATATTTCTGAAAATTTCAAAAATCCTTGAACTTCTAATCATCATCATCATCATTACAGCCCTTCACAAGTCCACTGCTGAACATAGGCCTCCCCCAAGGTATGCCACAAAGCACGGTCCTGAGCCACCTGCATCCATTGACCATGTCTTACCATGTCGTTACTCCATCTAGGGGGTTACACTTCACCTACCAGTACGAGGCTGGCACTCGAGAACCTTTTTCCCCAACGGTTGTCGGTTCTTCGAGCTATATGGCCGGCCCATTGCCACTTCAGCTTACTAATCCGTTAGGCTATGTCGGTCACTCTGGTTCTCGCAGTAGAAGTATATCCTCATTTCTAAGTTTATCACGCAGAGAAACTCCGAACATAGCCCTCTCCATAGCTCGCTGAGCGACTTTGATTGTCCTCATACGGCCAGCAGTGAAGGACCACGTCTCGGTTCCGTAGGTCACTGGCAACATGCACTGGTTGTACAACTTAGTTTTCAGCTCTTGAGGTATACCTGACGAGAAGATGTGTCGTAATTTCCCGAACACTGCCCAGCCGAGTTGAATCCGTCGATTGACCTCTCGGTCGAAGTTGGACTTGCCTAGTCGGACTATTCGTCCCAGGTAAACGTACTCGTCAACAACTTCGAGCTTAGTGCTAAACAACTACCGGCATAGGTGTGACATGGACGTTAAACATGATCATTGTTTTGTCCATGGACCTATCCATTGCCAAGCACTATTGAGGTCTTGGAGCATAGTGCTTAAGTCCTCCAGCGATTCTGCCATAAGGACTATATCGTCGGCAAATCGAAGGTCAGTGATGTACTCGCCATTGATGTTAATACTGTATCCTTTCCAGTCCAGTAGCTTGAAAACGTCTTCCAATGCAGCGGTGAAGAGTTTCGGGGAAATAACGTCACCCTGTCTTACACCTCTTTGCAGTTGGATAGGTTTCGTACTCTGGTTCTGTACTCAGATAGCCATCGTAGCCCTACTGTACAAACACTTCAGCACTTCGATATACCGACAGTCAACTTTGCACCACTTAAGAGACTGTAGCACCGCCCAAATTTCGACGGAATCAAAGGCTTTCTCATAGTCCACATATGCCAGGCAAAGTGGCAGATTGTATCTTCGGACTTCTGTACATTTTGCCGAAGGATATGTTTGTGGTCTATGGTACTAAAGCCTTTTCGGAAACCAGCTTGTTCGGGAGGCTGGAAGTCGTCGAGTCTGCGTGCGAGACGATTCGTAATGACTCTCGAAAACAGCACGTAGACGCGGCTCAGCAGGGAAATCGGTCTGTAGTTCTTCAAGAGGGCATTGTCACCTTTCTTGTAGAACAAGACCACCGCACCGCGGACTTCTAATAACAGAAATATTTTTATTTGTTCATTATAGCAATAAATATTTTAAAGTATGCTGCTGTTATTAATTGCAATGTATCGTGGACAGGGATGGTTTATCATAAGTGAGGTAATATTAATAGGGGGGGGGGGGTCGCATAAAACGTGAGATAGCGTGACAAAAGTGTTGGAAGGGAGGGTTTATGATATATGGTTACTGCAGCTCTTGAGTATCTACAATCAACTTAAAGCAAAAGTAGCCTTGGTGGCATAGGTGTATTGTTGTTTAGGGGTGTAAATAACGACAGCCTCATATTGATTCACCGTTATATTTAAATATTGATTCACTGTTATATTTAAATATTGATTCACTGTTATATTTAAACCAAATGTCAAGAGTGTAAAAGACCTAAACATAAATGTGAGATTTACCCAGTAATTTTTAAATATTAACTTTTTTTTGATATGTTTCGAACATGGTAGAGCTATGCGGCAGTTATATTAGTATTATAGTTGTAGCATGAATGGGTCAACTCGACCGAGGAAGGACCACGCTCTCACAGAATGCCAGTGTAAAATAGTAGCTTAATGCTGCTGTGTTTCGTATGGCGAGTGTAGAGAACTGGAGACCATTTTTACTGGAAACGAGGCAATCCATCTTAGTCCTCACGGGTGACATTGCATCTGCATTTTGATTCGTAAACTAGGATAGATGTAGATGTCTATGGGTCACAACAACCACTTACCATCAGGTGGACTGTGTGTTTGTTTGTCACCCTGTCCTAAAAAATGTTCATATCATCATCATCAACCTTCCCGGGTTGTCACTCTGATTGGATCTGTGTTCTTGTATTTTGTAATAAATATATGGAACTGATTTTGTAATACAAACTGTTATCTGCTATAAATATGAATATTTCTGAATTAAAAAGTTGATGCTGGACGGTAAAAAAGTTTTATTGAACTTGGGTCATAATTGGCAAAGATATCAATCACATTTGCATCCTCTTACTATACGAGTAACATCCTCCTTTTTTGAAGTCAGTTAAAAGGGAATTATGGGTGAGTGTATTATAAACACAACTATTGAGAGCATTTTTGCATATTGTATTTTATTATTATTTTAAGGTTTACCAATTTCAAAGTTATGTCACAAAAAAATTTCGTCATATTTAAAATTAGTAACGGTACTACGGTCTTCGAATTGGATGCTGCTATCCCCTCTTTGGATATTGCACATTTGGTATCTTTCTAGTACTTTTCATACTCGCATTCTGATGACACCTACTGGATGATATGAAGAGATGAACTGTCTTATGTCACCATCACATAATAAAAAAGGTCTCAATGTCTATTCCAGGTTCCCGAAAGAAACGAATCTACGTACTGCATGGATTGAAGCACTTGGCGTGTTGGATTGGGAGCCACGCGATCGTAGCACTATTTGTTCTGAGCACTTCCGCAACGAGGACTTCTATCAGACAAAGTGCGGGTTGAGGAAGATAAAAAATGGCGCTGTTCCTGTTGTTCTTCAGGTATTAATAGTTTTTTTTATAGAATAAAGTTGACAATGGAGCACACAGTCCAACTGATGGTATTTGCATATATTGGCCCATAGAAATTTACGATTATTCATGCTACAACTATAATATAGATGCTATATTATGGTTGTAGTATCACGAGAAGTGATGAACATATGGGTAACAATTTGTTGTTAGCCGTTGCGGCTTTATGAGAAAAATATATATATATATATATATATATATATATATATATATATATATATAATCAAATAGGTAACTTAAGGTGAAGTGGGCACAAAAAGCTGATTTTTCACACTTTATAGGTGCGACTGGCAGCTGTTTGGTCGGCCACATAGCCTGAATTTAATTGAATTTGGTTTCATTACATTCGAATGAAGCAGCTTTTTCACTTAGTGGACATACCTAAAATTGTAGATTTTGAGGAAACTGTGCGATCTTTTTCTATCGAGTCAAAATGTGACAATCATGTTTTGGCCAACATAATCCACTAAGAAAAATCTTTAACTTTCATAATGATTTTAAATAAAATGTGGATTCGTAGTTTTTAATGACAAAAAATTGCTTTTCTGCGCACCTATAAAGCGTGAAAAATCTGATTTTGGCGCCCACATCACCTTAAATGATTTCTATGTGTCTTAGCACAGTATGCATAATGATTTCTTCGGGAAAAATAGGCGGGAAGAGTGACCAAAAGAATTATTATTCCGAGATTCCGAGTACCCTTAACCAACGAGCATGTATGCGTTCGAATATTTTTTTATAGGATAAGGGTGACTAACGAGCACACAGTAAAGATGATAAGTTGATACTGTGGCCCATAGACATCTATTCTTCGATTACGAATCAAAATGTAGATGCATTGTCACCTGTTAGGACTATGATGGAATACCTTCTTTCCAGTAAAAAAGGGTCTCAGGTTCTCTACACTCACCATACGAAACACAGCAGCTGTAAGCTGCTATTTTACGCTGGTATTTTGTGAGATTGCATTTAATAGCCCATAGAAATTTACGATTATTCATGCTGCGACCATAATATAGCTGTAGTAATATAGCTGCAGCATAGCTCTACCATGTAGAATAGTCAACATGGTCTAAGCCAAAATCATTTTATTCAAAGTTAGGTAGGTAACCGCATTCTACTTATTTCTGCGGTCAAGTAGTAGTGAATGCACGGCTGTGTTCTGGTCTGAAGGGTATATGGAGAGCCAGTATAATTACACGCTGTGAAGCAATCCATTTTAAATCTTAGAGGTGATAACACATTGCTTATATGGTTTGTTTGAAATTATTTGCAAGTGTCCATAGACTGCAGCAGCCACTTACTATTTATATGTGACAGATCCACGCTGCAGCCACATTATGGTTGTAGCATGAATGGGTCGGCTCGACTGGGGTAGGACCATTCTCTCACAGGATACCAGCATAAAATAGCAGCTTAATACTGCTGTGTTTCGTATGATGAGTGTAGAGAACCGGAGACTCTTTTTTTACTAGATATGAGGCATTCCATCTTAGTCCTCAGGGATGACAACGCATCTGTGTTTTGATTCTATATCGCATGCAATTAAAACGCAGATTCTTAATTGAGGATAAATGTAGATGTCTATGGGCTACAGCATCCACTTACAATGAGGTGGACTGTTTGCTCATTTGTCAGCTTTATTAAAAAAAAAACCATAGATAGACTGTAAGATCCCTTGTTACTGTGTAGAGAACTGCAGAACCATCTTACTCCTCAGGCGTGACAACACTTCTGGATTTTGATAAATTGAGGATGTGTATATAAGGTACTAGCTGATACCCGCTCGCTTCGCTGGGTGCACGAAAATATTTTATTGTGAAACCTAGATGTAAAATATCACGAATTATTTTTTAATGGGATCGTAAAATTCATCTACAGTCTACATTGCGAAATGAGTAACTACTAAATTTCAAGTCAATCTGGTGTATAGTTTTAGAGATCTCGTGATGAGTCTGTCAGTCAGTGGTATTTCGCTTCGGTATCCTATATCCTATACCTTTAAACGAGCAATTCTTGTATATAGGTATGTATATATATATATATATATATATATATATATATATATATATATATATGTATAATCGAAATCTCGGAAACGGCTCTAACGATTTTCATAAAATTTAGTTTCTAGGGCGTTTCGGGGGGCAATAAATCGATCTAGCTAAAATTTATTTTTAGAAAATGTCTTTTTGTCCGTGTTTTCAGGCAATGAAAAACTGCTACAATATTGTTACAATAAGAAGGTAAATTTTGACACGTTAATGATTATAATAGCTTAAATGGATATCGAGCGGTCGCCAAAATGAATACCTTGGTTCGCGTCTTGTCTTCGGTCCGATTTTTCCCCTTTTTTTTCAAGTTCCCTTCTTTTGTGAGAAAATCTATTATTTCGAGCCCTTTTAAAATACGAAAATTTTACATAATGATTTCTTATATTTACGCGAACACTATACATTAATTAAAACTACTGTGACCATGGGTGCTGGGAAGCACCCGAAACGTCGGGTATTAAAAATAAAAATAAAAATAAATAAAACGCGAAAAAAAATCCGTAAAAGTAGTTTTAATCAATGAAAATTTTAATTAAACTCATTGCACTCATGATTTTTATTCAAATAACCAGTTCAGTTTTTTTCTATTATGTCAATAAGATCAAAAAATATTATTGATGTTTCATCAGTATGTAATTTGTATCTAAAAGTAATTTAAAAAAAAAAAAAAAAACCGAGCAAAGCTCGGTCAACCAGGTTATATATTATATATATTAAATTGCAGCATTCACTTAACATGAGGTGGACAGTACGCTTGTTTGTCACCATTATTCTATAAAAAAATGTAATAAAAATGTAATAAGGTTAATTGTTTTTTTTTATTTAAAATTTTAACTTGACTTTATCGATTATGTTTTTGTAACACGTGTGCATAACAAAATACTTTACTTTTAATTTTACTCCCCAATAGAAGTGTAAAACGGTATAGTCAGTATTGTCAGTCGCTAACAAACTGGTTCTCAAATTAGTAAAGTAACAACCTTTTTATACATTCCACTGCTGGGCACTAGTTTCACATTTCTCAAAGGGTTATTGGGCAAGGAAATGTCCGCCGCCTGCTTTAATGCTCGTTTTCGGACTTCGTATCTCTGAAATAATTTTTTTTTAAATAAAATTGGTATTTACAATTTCTTTGGTGCCGGCGGAGAGCGAACCACTGCAATATTTTATATATATATATATATATATATATATATATATAATTGTGATTTTCACGTGCCGACATCCGCTTGGTATGTTTTTTTTGTTATCAAAATACAATAAAATCTTTTTGTAATGAAGTAAAACCTGACTTTTGTTTAGACCATAGGATAGAGAATTTTGTATAGATTTTGTAATACCAAACTTCTTCATAGTAGTCTCTAAATATAAGTTTTAATTGTTTAAAGTTCCTGTGGGTGGGTTGCGGTCGCATGCGACCGCTCGAGATATGCCAGACGCATGCGACTGCATGAGATTTTTATGGGGATTGAAGGGTTAAAATTATGTCTTTTTGCAGGACTCCAGTGAAGACCTCGACGCGCCAGCGGCTTTTTTAAGGGCAAGTGAATTATCATATCAATTATATATAAAATAAAAATTGTACAAAATGATTCCATGTTACATACAATAACAGATCGGAGTAACTAAGTATTTAGCTCAAAACATTTACGCGTAAAGTTTTATTTAGTGCAAAAGTCAATCACGCATATTCAGTAGTTGAGCCACAGAAATTTTCATCATCATCATTACCAAGCAAAAGTCATACTTTTTAATAATTTAATAACATAATGATCGGGAGAAGACGGATTCCGTTCGGAGACACGTCGTCAAGGCATTCCTCAATGCTTTCTCTTTGATGATGATGTTCCCCAACCAAGAACCAGGGCCTCTGGGTTGCGGGTGATTGGAGCAGGGCTCCTGAACACCTAGTGATGTAACCCTTGAGGGGGACGATGACTCGGAGGTCATCCCGAAACATCGTAATAGCGTTGCAAAGGTACTGGATGTAAGTGACTAGCACACCTAGCATGTGTCGTCTTGTCGAGCAAAGTGATAGATGGGTTGTGTTTGGAACAGAGAACCGGGGAGCCCTCATATACGCTGATAGTGACCACCCTGGGATTTTGGCTGGTCGGAGTAACAGAAACATACTTTTTTATGCAATATAGATTATAAATAATACTTATTATGTCAGTTTTTTAATTTACCACTTGTTCGGAAAAAACCTTTGTCCTGGGAAGAACCAGCTAGAAACCCAGTGGAACTGAGAAATAGCTTGGTAGCGATCACCTTTCACAGGGGTTTTGATTATCCATACATTTTTAATATTTTTTAATTTTTATAAACAAAATTAGTTTAATAAAGTTTCTGAACTTTGTGCGGGTTAAAGGGGAATGCCCACTCTTCATAGACACTTCGGACATGGGTGCCCACGTAAAAAAGCATATAGATATGATAATATGCAATTAAAACAATGAAATGGTAAAGGAATTGCTTTAAAAAAAGTCGGGGTTTTGAAGATATATAAGTTTTTATTTTCACAAATGCAGTTTTTTAACAACTATTTTTATCGATTTTATCGCGTTTTATTTCTTTGATTTTTAATTCCAGACGTTTCGGGTGCCAACCCATGGTTACGGCGGACTGAGGTGACTGACGTCTCAATGTCAATGTTAACTCGGAGTGCCTTCAGATTTTTAATTTTTATTTATGGTCCGATCTACAGAATGAACTTACTGTGTCTTAGTCTTGCAGTGGTATGCTTAGGTTTAATTTTAATTTCATTAATTACAGGGTAGTACCAAGTCTCCTTCTCTATTGAAAAACGAATTTTTTTATTTCAATAGTCTCTCGTATCGTCCTTGATAGGAATTGATGTTCCTTTTAGAGGATTTGTGGTCTATCAAATCTTTTTTTTATGTCTATCTGGTAGGGGCCGTCCAGGATATGATCACAAACTGCAAACTTCCCTGAACTTTGATGCTTCACGTCAGCTCGCTTCAAGATGTAGCCAATCTTGTCTGCGACACCCCTGACAAATGCTAGTACTGCACATGCTTGACTGTGGCCGGCTTCACTCGGTCACTGTGACGTAAGCGCGGGCCCGAAGCTTGTTGACGTGTATAACCTGCTTGACGTGCAGAAGCTCGACGGCCAGATGTTTGCTGCCACAGATCCCTTGTGCTCTCTGTAACAAAGATTTGCTCACGGTAACTAACTGTGAAGGCTGTTGGTGAGATTCATTGTTTTCTATACACAGTGTGACCTATGGTGTTGTTAGAATTTTGGATGACTAACGCATTTAGGAAAACTAAGGAATTATTTGCCTCTAATTTACACATCAATACATCATTCAGGAACTGAGCAGGAAGCAAAATATTAGTCTGATGCCGTGCCCAACCCAAATACCATATTACTGTCATAACATGGGCCATACAACATAAAAAATATTCTTTGATAGTAGCGCCCTCTATAATAAAATGCATCCTACGTTTTTAAGCACCATAACAAAAAACGATTCAACATAGCCTAACCCGCACACACAGTAAAAACATAACCATCCTTTTTCGTCTGTAGTCGGATAAACAACTGGTTGATAACGGTTGCGTATCGGCTGCTTTGGATAAATATCCATTGTCAACGGTTGTTTTAAACCTATATATTAGCATTGTAATAATGACACCATAAGTAATCGATCGAAAAGGAGAATCGATTTTTTTAATGAGATTTGTGATTGGCAACACTTTTTATTTTATTCACAAACTAATGAATTACTGATTTACCTAATTTTATTCTTATCTTTTCGGTACTTTTAATTTGTGCAAAAATATTCCCATCTTTTTAGGATAAATGAATACCGCGATTAATAACCATAAATAAAGATATATTTTTTTAACAAATGCGCATTACACAAAATGGGCATCCCCCTTTTGTATATCATGTCTATTATAGTAGTCTGCTTAAGAGGATACCTTAAAAATTAATCGTTGTTTTGAGGGCGTCGCTTAGCTCTTCGTGCGCCCTGTGTGGGATCCATAGCTCTCGCTCTAGCCGCGCGTTGTCGAGTAATCGAAATTCGCACAGTGCAATGGAGCCGACATTTGCTCTTTTGTCTTTATAGGAACAAAAATATTTGTTACTTTTATTTTCTATAACACGTAATTATTTTAAAGTTTACAAAAATATATCTATTTCTAGTCATTCTTTAGTTAATAAATAATATTATCACCTTGGACCATTTCTTTATAACAAAATCAATAAAATTACTCATTGAGCTATTATGTACTACCTACTAGAGGCGACACTGCATTCAGCTACTCTGTTCTACTCAACTGCGGTGCATACAACGCACTTTAATCAGTCACTCGCACAGAGTACCTTTATTATATACTGAAATAGAGACCTATCTTCGACCTTTAAAATGGTAACGCGTAACTAGCGTCATCTCTTACAGAAGTAAGCAACTTTTTCTGTATATATATATATATACAGCGTGTCCGGTAATGAATGGATAACCTTGAAATGTCTTATAGTACAACTTATGGCCGTCCTGAAAAAAATACGAAAAATAATATATCACAAGTAGTACCTTTGATATATATTTTTTTAAAGAAAAGGCCATTTTTTCTTATCTTATTTTACTGTCTTGAACACTATGACCAAAAATGAATGATTTCTATTGGTTTTTTGTTATATTATTATTATACACTAACTGTGCTTATAGGTAAAATGTAAACAATATGAATAGCTTTTGCAGTTTTTATTTAAAAAAATCGCAAATCAATTTATTTCTGAAAAACATACAAAAAATATTATTTAAGCGAAGTTCAAACCCCTTGGGTATGAAAAAAATGTATGAATGTATGGGTGACCAATAATTTTACAATAATATCGGTTTCGTGTAGATTTTATAATGGTATAATTCATAAATGTATCTTCCATAAATAGTGACTTATTGCCATTAATGTAGAAAAGGAGAAAATTTGACTAAGTAACAAAATTTGTAATATGGGAACATTTTTTAAATTGAATTGTCTCTGATCATTGGGAATTAATAAAAACACATCAGGAGTTGATCATACATGAAAACAGCTATTTTTAAACAAATTGAAACCAAATTAAGTATTAGAAATTAACTTATTTAAATGTAATAAAATAACCAATTTAAATCTTGAAATGGTTACTTTACTAGCGTGAATTGGTCGTGTGACCTTCATATTTGCTACCTGCTGCCTTTTGTTTTAGACAAAGAGAGGTCTGAATTGGGTAAGTGGGAGAGAGAAGAGCTAAATGTAGAAGAGAACTTAGTGCGTCACACGACCTGCTCGACTTCGCATGTATTTATTTTGTCTCCTTTGCAATTATTTAAATCAGTGTTAAAACGACCACTTGGCTATTTTACCGGACTATTTGTTTTTCTTATTGATTTGGACTTGTTTTGCGTTTGGTGATATTTTCGACGATTTGGCTTGTTTCTGGACTAAACTGGACTTTTGTGTACATATCAAAATGCCACGTCATCAGTACACGGCACAAGAATATGCAAACATGCATTTTATTTATGGAGAATGCAGAGGCAACGCAAAGCAAATGCAGCCGCAGCTCTTTATAGGGAGAGGTACCCTAATGCTCGCCACCCAGACTGGCGTGTATTTATAAGAGTTCACGGTTGTTACTCTGAAGGAAGAATGCCGGGTAGTGGTGTCGGTGGTGCTAGCGCTGGAAGAATCGCTCGTCCTGATGTAGAAGACGTGGTACTTGAGGAGATCGTCGATCGTTCCTTCAACCTCTATGCAAGCAATAGCTCGACGCACAGGTATTGGAAAATCGACCGTACACGATATTTTAAAGAAAAACGAATTACACCCTTACCACGTTACACGCGTGCAAACTCTCCAACCAAGAGTTTATCTCTCAAGAGTGCGTTTTTGCCGGCAAATGCTGGCAAAGATGGAAGAAGACCCGCAATTTTTTAATAAAATTTTGTGGAGCGATGAGTCAACGCTTAAAAGAGACGGTTACTTAAATTTACACAATTTACATAGTTGGGAACTAGAAAATCCCCATCTTATGCGTGAAGACAGGTCACAATACCAATTTAAAATAAATTATTGGACCGGAATATTAAATGGTATGATAATTGGCCCATTTGAATTAACGGGGAATTTAACGGGGCAAAGTTATTTGGAGTTTCTTCAAAATGATCTCCCCAATTTATTACAAGAGGTTCCCGAGGAGCTGAGGGAATCGTATTGGCTGCAAAATGACGGTTGTCCTGCGCATTATGCTGTTCCGGTTCGTGCATATTTAAATAGCAGATACCCAAATAGATGGATCGGACGTCTAGGGCCCAATTTTGTGGCCCTCCACGTTCACCGGATCTAAATCCATTGGATTTTTTTTACTGGGGCTGTCTGAAAGAGGTAGTATACTGTAAGCCCGTGCGGTCTTTGGACGAACTACGCAGTCGTGTCAGAGAAGCCGCATCAAAAATATGCGAGCGACGGTACACTAGACTGCTCAGAAGATCATTTATCCGAAGATGTAGGGCATGCATAAGAGTGTCAGGCAAACAATTTGAACATTTGTTGTAAA